ATGGCCCTGAGTGCCGAGTAAAGGTCAAAATTTGAAGCCCTTCACCGGTATAAGGTGACGTCTCTATATGAGTGAAAAATTCTCGAATGGGACGTAAAACAACATACAATCAATCAATCTACCAGGAACCAAAAGAAAACATGATGATAAAGAAATTAAAATAAATTTGAAAAATTGAAACAAATGAAACGAATAAGCATCAATATATATATATATAAAATATTAAGATAAAAACAAGATGTTGGAATTAAAACAAGTTATTAAGATAAAAAAGAATGTTGGTACAGATATCCCTTGATTAAAACATACAAAACACTAAAAACTCCATTTTTACTGACAAATTATTGGAGTCATACTATTGCGGAACAATTAATGATGAATGTTATACGGTATGGCCATAATCTTTAAAGCCTTTTAAAATATTTCTTATTTAATCATATTTACTTTGGAGCAAGAATGGCGCCAGATTTTGCGAGTTGTTTGATATCCCTGATGACTATAAGATCTTTTATTCCTTCCTACAGTAATAAAGTTATTATACCTAAGTACTGTTTTTCCTAAGCATGAAAGTGATTCGTTAATTGTTTGCTTAATCTCTGAAACTCATTAGAATTCACTATTCTCCAAAAAGCAGGACTCGTGATATATCCATTTTGATAAGAAATATTATAATAATTTCATAATTTTCTTTTCCTATGGTAAGTACATATTTTATAATAAAAATTCAAGTACCATGTGATATTAACTAAGCTTTCGACCATTGAAGGAACCTTAAATTCCCCATCTATGAATCTTTGCTGAGGCCAAAGAACATTGCTTGTTTCGTGAAGTTTAGAATTGTACAAAATAAGACAATTTTTTTTATATCTCTCCCAATAGGCAATTCTCTTCACAAATTAAGTCAGCTTCTGTGTTTTTGCTCGTCAAGAAAGCAGACGTAAACCTTGTTCATGGAGAAGTTCGAGAGTGGCGACAAAAGCCTGATATTGTTGACGGAGTAAGGGGGGTTTAGGGATGACAGGATGACAATAAAAAGCCTGGCACAGTTCATGAAGTAAAGGAGTTCTAGGAATGGCAACAGAAGTCTAGTCCTGTTTATGGTGTGGATCTAAAGTCTGGCATGTATTGTTCATGGAGTGGTTTTGGGAGGTGGCGAAAGAAGCCTGCATGGCATTGTTCATGGAGTGGTTCTAGAGGTGGTCACAGAAGACTTGCATTGTTAATGGAGTGGTTCTAGGGGTGGTCACAGAAGCCTGATAATGTTCATGGAGTGGTTGTAGGGGTGGTAACAGAAGCCTGACATTGTTCATGGAGTTGTTCTAGGGGTGGCGACAGAAGCCTGACAATGTTCATGGAGTGGTTCTAGGGGTGGTCACGGAAGACTGACATTGTTCATGGAGTGGTTCTAGGGGTGGTCACAGAAGCCTGACAATGTTCATGGAGTGGTTGTAGGGGTGGTAACAGAAGCCTGACATTGTTCATGGAGTTGTTCTAGGGGTGGCGACAGAAGCTTGGCATTGTTCATGGTATAGTTCTAGTGGTGGCGACAAATGCCTGGCATTGTTCATGGAGTGGTTCTAGGGGTTCGCAGAAGAAGTCTGGTATTGTTGTTCTAGGGGTGGCGAGAGAACAGTGAATTGTTTATGCAGTGGTTCTAGGAGAGACTGGGGGGGGGGGGGGGGGGGGGTCTATGGTGGCGGATTGACAACAAAAGCCGGTTTAAGTTCAAGGTACTGTACCTTAGTGATGTTTATATTTCTAAAAAAAATTTTTTTTTAAATATCGTCCGGAAACGAAAGTGCTATACACAAACAGAATGTATGAAATTATGACCTTGACCTCTGATCTTTTGATCTCAAAATCGATAGGAGTCTTCTTTACGTTTTAGTGAGCTGTTATATTAAATTTTATTAAAGATACCGAAAAAAACTAAAGTTTTCTTCTGAAATATGTTATCTGTTATGTATGATTTTTAACCTTGACCTTTGACCTTAAAATCATAAGGGATTTTCTTTAAGCCGTCAGGAGTTGTGATATAAAACTTAATTGCAAAAGCTCAAAGATTTTTACAGATATTGCCAGGAAATGGAGATGTTACACACAAACAGAATGAATGAATTTATGACCTTTATTTTTGACCTTTTGACCTCAAAATCAATAGGGGTCTTCTTTATGTCATAGGGAATTGTGGTATAAAATTTCATTGCAAAAACTCACAGGCTTCTTGAGAAATCATCTTGAAACAAAAGTGTTACACACAGAGTGTAAAAAATTTTTATTAGAAAAGCTCAAAGGCTTCTTGAGATATCATCTGGACGAAAGTGTTACACACAGACAGAAATACAGACAGACCCAAATTAAAATTCCCTACTTTCAGTGAAAGCGGGGGACAAAAATGTAAATGATTATTAAATGTAATTAAAAAGAGTGTAAAATGAGTACTGATTAAAGAAATATAATGTACTGTAAAAATATTGTTTCTTTCCCACATCAAACAAAGAATTTGTAAGAAGAAAGCCTTTTAAACATAATGTAATGTAGAATCAAAAGTAATCATGTTTACGTTAGAAAAGTAATCAGATGTAATCAATTTCTTCAAAATGTCTGTAGTCATCTTGTAATTGATTACTTTTAAATCCAAAGTAAATGTAATTTAATCGATTTCATTTGAAAATATTTGACCCCATCCCTGGTCATTGTTCATTGAGTGATACAGGGGGTGCGACAGAAGACAGTTACTTTTCATGGCCTGAGGGCGGGGGGTGGGGGGTTAGGAGTGGCGGAATAACATCAGAAGCCTGCAGCTGGCATAATTCATGAAGTAAAGGGGTTCGGAGGGGGGGAAGCAAGAGCCGGTATTGTTCTTGGTGTGGTTCTCGGGGTAGAAACAGAAGCCTGGCATTGTTGCTCTAGAGGAAGCATGGAGTTGTTCATTGAGTGGTTCTAGGGGTGGCGACCAAAGGAATTCCCGTATAGGCTATAAATTTCTACATTTAGATGTCGTGGTCACTTATCTTTTATACCGAGTACAGTGTACTTTTTATATATCATATACATTCAAAAGTAGAAATATTCCTACCGACTTTACACCCTAGCAGAATATTTTCAATATTTTTAATCTTACCCATAGTCTATATTTAAGCTTTTAGCCCAACTTTTCATCCAGAAATATGTAAAAAAAAAAAAAAAAAAAAAAATACTTCATATGCATATCAGTCTGTATGCAGAGTAAGTGTAAGTTTTAATTTTGACATACCACCTGAATTGCCAAAGATGGCTCCAAGTTTACAAAGCTTATTGAAACTTTATTTATTTTTAGCACTGTGATTCTGTCTTTTTACCGTAGACCTTTTCAATTCATGATATGCAAATAGTATTTCATACCGACAAATTTCGTATTGTTCATGACAAGTATGACGGAACTTTAAAAAACAGTCGAAGAAAGATATGCTTAGAATACAGGTTATGCGCAAATTTTGTATAAATGTTCCTTGAAAAGCAGTCTTAACACGAAACACATTTTTATGAATGAATACACAAAGGGATGACCAATACACCAGCATTAATTAGCCAGTCAAAACAACGCCTCTATTCACATGGAAAAACAATTACACTGCAGCGCGCCAAATGTATCTGGGAAGGCCATCAACATCATTTCGCCATGCTGAACAACGTGTTAATCTCGTTTAGGCATTTCCGCTTCATTAGAGTGGAATATAATTTATTTCTCATGGAAGAATGGTACTCAGTTTACCCTTTTTCCATGAATGTCTCCACTGGAAACTTTTTTTTCTTCTTGTTTACATATAGAAAAACTTCATGTTCTTTAAATTGAACATGAATATTTTAATGGACGTCAATTTTCATGAATACCACATGGCATTCACCATTCTTAAATTCACCATGCTTTCACTCACATTTAAATAATACACTACTACCTATAAGATACCAACTTGAAAACGGAGACGGACAACTTTGAAATGTGATGTTACATGTTGAAAGATGCGCGGGTCTTATTTCAGTGTCAACATGCATACTCCTTTTAGAATAATTACTAGAGCTAGATATCTGTCAAATATATTCAGGAGATCACTATATCAAGGAACTCGTTCAAGAGTTACATTAGAATCAAAACCACTTTTCTAAAGAGAGAGAGAGAGAGAGAGAGATTTAGGGGGGTGGGGTATAATTTATCCCTCCGTTATAGGACAAAACAGTAACCAAAGAATCTTTAACATTTTAACAAATACTGAAAACAACTTGTTCATAACAAAAATAATGAGTTCACCTAAGATAAATGTTTTCGATGTCCGATATTGATAATTAGGGGGAATAACATAGTCTTCGCTGAGGACTTTACAGAACAGGTGCCCCATATAATTATCATAATTATGAAAAAAAGTAGAAGTGCTCCGTTAAAAATGTCATGGAAACACAAATACAACATAATTAAATATATTTTTACTCATTCTAGGTGTTACAGGTGCCAGAAAAGTATTTTTACGCTAATGTCATCGATCTCTATATATTATTCACGATTATAGATACATATATTAATAATAAGGTTATAAATAATATATTTCATACATACACAGTCTCTCCAACAGATTGACTGTATGTAATAAAATGTTCAAAATGTTCCATTATGTTATTTTTCGGTATATATTATAACGTCTTCTGATCTTAATCGGTTTGTCATTCTTCGGAATTTAATTTGGTTGGTATCCAGGCTCTGTGTGTTATGATTTATTTTAACCAAACTATGAAGTCGTGACTACATTGTAGCTAGGTTTGATGATTTCAATTCCAGATGTACTGATAATTGTACTCTGGCATCAATACAACCTGACCTCACCTGATTAGTTTCATAGTACCGGAACTTGCAATGTAAGTACTATTGTCCTATTTTTTTAAGGACGTGATAATGAAGAACCATTAACGAAAAAAAATAACATAAGGGAAAGAAAATCCTAGTTATTACAAACTAACATACTAAGTACCTTAGGCTGGAAATCTAGATCCAAGGAATTGGTAAAGCAAAACGATAATCCAACACAAAGAAACATACAAAGATATCCAAGATTATTCTCAAGGTCAGCCATAGTTTTACTCCCACATGTAAATTGGAATGTACAAGCTCCTACAACGTGTGAACACTAAGCAGCCAGTGTCGATAAAGGCCTTCACATTTTAAGAGTATGCTAAAATAAAAAAAAGTCTAAAGCAATTTATTCTTTCTTATTTAAGTCTCCTTTTCCGCAATTCGAGCGGTTATCTGAACGATGCATCTAAGTTTCATGGTATATGCCTGGCTATTTGACGGTGCTGCTTACGATCGCATCACCGGCAAAATTTGAAGAGGAGCTGCAAACAGCCAGCGCTGACAAATGTCCTGGCTCCCAGCCCTAGAATCACACTTCCACCCAAAATGTTCTACTGATGAATGACAAATGCATCCTTGTTTCCCCTGATTCTGGAGCGGATCCAATCTCTTTTTTATATACCGATAACCAGAAGGATAACACTGGCAAGGTCCAAGGAAATAAAACGGAAAAGAACCCCCAATCTCGAGAAACGAGGAGAGGATTTGACATGGCTACTTAATAGATTCTTGATTAGGAATCTGATATTTTCCTAAGTGAAGATTAGTGATCGGATGCGATATTTAACAACAAAATAAAGCTTACTGTTAACGAAGCTTATCGCGTCACTGTCAGATACCAAAATAGAGGCATTTATTTTCTTACGTAGCGTTTGAATTTTAGAAACAAGATCAGATAAAAAAAGAAATTAAAATGCCAAAATTGAAAACTAATTAATAGTGGGCAGTTTTTCAAACCGGATATTAATCATCGAGTTGGTTTCAGTTCATGTGAAATCCTTTAATCAAAAATAATAGATATGGCAAGGCAGAAATTCTTTAATTGCCATACATTGCAATTAGTGACTTGAACAAAACACTAGTATTATTTTAAACTTTTTAAAACATCGATTTTCAATACCTTGACTTATATATAGCTATCCGATATTCTTAAATTCAAAACTCAACACATTTAATTCTGGAGACTTCCCAGTTACTGTCCAGACCGCATAGCTGTATGGGTTTAGCTTTTAATAGCCAGAGAGAGAAAAAATTACCTAGACTTTAACATCTAGGTGGACTTGCGTTATCAGAAAAAACGATGCTAGGTCATCGATTTACGTAGGAACACAAAACTATATTGAGGTAAATAAAAAATTTCGAAGAAACAAAAAAAATGGAATGGAGCTTATTTTTACGAAAAGTTCTGTATATCCAAAGATCTTAATTGTGTTTTTGTCGGATCATTTGAAAGATAAATTCGAGTGACGCAGAAGCTGCCCGGCCACATCATCTCTATTTAGAGATGTTGCTCCTTTCAGTATCAAGCACTATTGGAGTAAACATTTAAGCTCCCCCCTCCCCCGAAAGAAAACCCACATTCTGTGATGTTTAATATTTCTTGACACAGATTGACACATTTTACTTGTCAAGTATATGGTTAGCCCTTTGTGGCTGTATCCCGTGTTTGTGCCCTGTCGATTTTTCCTTGCTTTGGAAACATTTATGAATCAACGAATTGAGTTCGATTTTTCCTTGCTTTGGAAACATTTATGAATCGACGAATTGAGTTATTTAAATTAAACTCACACTCCCTTAATTTCAAGTGTTCGTTATGTTGTATAACAATTGTTAGGTCTACATTTCAGTACTAAATTGTATTAGCACAAACTGTTCGTAACGTCTTGACGTCAATACAATTGTCAGGCTTTATTATTATTCTCCTTATGTATAGCTTTCAATAAATATCAAATACACTTACCGACACCATTTTATATTTCAAAAGGGCCGTGAATTATAAATGAGGGTTGGGGGCTGGGTTGGGTGTTCAATTCAATTCTAAGTATGCAAATCTACAGATTTTCTTCCGAGAGATGCGCTTACTAACATATGGGATTTCAAGCTTTAAAGTTACAAAGATCTCACTGCATAGTTGTTATATGTATTTAAAAGTACATGTAAATTTAATTCTATCTCTGATAGTTCCAATAATAACTTTGTCATGGAGTTTCACTTTACGTAACTTAGTCAACATAACCGATATAGGAGTTGATTGAAAAAAAATAAGCAAATCTTCCTGTCCCCTCTCTTCCTGACCTCTCACGATGTTTCATACATGTATTAGGAGAAATAGCGTTTAAAAACAATTTTACAATTTTACCATTCTTACCATATTTATGGTCCAAATTCAGTAAAACTTGATACATGCACAAGTAGACTAGACTGTTCCTCATTTTGTTTTGTTTTTTCGACGAAAGATTTTGCCATGCTTTTTAAAAATAGAAACTTCTCTATAATTACTTCAATTGGAAAACCATATTATTATTTAATGTCTGAAGTCATTTTACCTGTATACTCATAAATCTGGAGTTCTGACCGAGCACTTTTCAATTTTTTTGCAATCTTATACTGTGAACCACTATTTATTTCCCTAGCCTATGACAAAATTAAAGTGACTAAGACGCAAAAGATTTTGAGAAAACAAATACTTAAAAAGTACCTTGTAGAATAAGACCTTTGTCATTGACGTGTTGAAATCCATGATTAGTTCCAGAACTCTACAACCTTTTAGAAGAATACAAAAAAAGCCTTTGGAAAGAAAATACGTTATCAAAGAAAACATTAACTTTCTGCATGACTTAAGTTTGCAGCAAGTACGAAAAAAAAATGAGAATTTATAATTAAACATTCAAATTAGTTATTTTTCGCTGGGAAGAGGGGTTCAAAAGAGGATTTTTTTATTCAAAGAAAAAGAAATATGCTTCAGGCCATCTTTAAAAAATGTTTGCTTGCTTCTCCCGACCCAGAATAAAAAAAAATTGGTAGATAGGCAGGGAATTTTTTTTTTATTCAAAAAACACTTACAAATTGAAAATAATTATTAATGGGATGAGAAAACCTCTGAATGAATAAAAAAAAAAGTAATTG